AACCCCATAAACAGTGCCATATATATTTTAATACCATTGTTTTGGTGGCCTCTCTTGTCTGCTCTACCAATCTCTGTATTAATTAATTTAGGTTAAGCTGTACCGCAGTAACAGATGGTCCAGCGGCTCAGGGGCCAGTGCAAGAACATTTATTTGTCTTTCACATTACATGCCCACTGTGGATCAACTTTGGCTTAACTTTACCATGTTTGCTGCTAGTTACCTTTAAACCGTGACCAGAACTTGGCTGAATATAATGTGTTTGGGTCACACTTTCTTGTGTTCTATATTTGGTAGATACTGTCTCAGTGTTCCCCAGCCATTGTGTTCATTAAGCTTCTCTGCTCCTGCTTCTCTCCCCAGCCCCCTTAACTGATGGATACTAATGTGGATGCCATGCCTTTTTATTTTTCTTAAAAATCTTGCACGAGGGTAGCTTTGTCCATATATCTATATCTATCTATATCTATCTATATCTATCTATATCTATCTATATCTATATATATCTATATCTATATCTATATCTATATCATCTATATCTATATCATCTATATCTATATCTATATATCATCTATATCTATATCTATATATCATCTATATCTATATCTATCTATATATTATCTATATCTATCATCTGTATCATCTATATCTATATATGTATAGATAGATAGATAGATAGACAGACAGACAGACAGACAGTCAGACAGACAGACAGACAGACAGACAGACAGATAGATAGATAGATAGACAGATAGATACTTTTTGTCCCAATGTTGGTGAATGTGCTCCTGGTCTTCTCATTTGATCTGAGCTTTGTTTGTAATCTCCAGTAAGGTAAAGTTTGCAAGTTATGTCTTCCATAACTCTTAGCCAGAGAATGGAAGTTTTAGCTGGGACTTAGTTTAATTTTAATAGGAAATCCTGGTTTGCCCCTTTCTTCTGTAGTTCTATCAAGTATTCAATGCCCAGCTAAATTCCATTTTATCAAGAGCGTATCTTAATCTAGCCTGGCCTTGAATTTGTTATCTCATGTCAGTCTTCCAAAGAGTTAGCTTCAGTTGTTCTTTAACTTCAATCTCTTTTCTCTCTCTAGCAGCTTTTACCCACTCCCTCCTGCTTTGAGCAAAATGAAAAAATATATTCAAAAGGTAGTTTTGGTTCTTATATTAGGAATCTACATGATAGGGGAAAGAAAATCATTCAGTTTTCTTGTGTTTCTTGGTGGCTTCTTAAATCCTTTTTTAATTTTTCTTTTATCCTCTGCTTGACTAAATTGTTGAATTTGGGGGGTTTAAGCTTGTGGATGAAAAAGGGAATCTGTAATAAATCTGAACAGAATAACTTCCAGGGTGATCAAATTCTTAACTGGGTAGGTCGTGGTAGGAGTCAAACCCAAGACTATAAAAAAGGTTTATCTTTGCCATAAGCAAGCCCTGCCCATCGTTCTTGTGCATCTGGTTATCCCACCTTTGAAATGCCAGAGTAACCCTCTTTTTTAGACCCCTGGGAGTCATAACCACCTTCAAGGGAGCACATAATTTTGTTAACTATCCTGTACCTTGCTTTCTCCCACCTTCATGCAATCTGCCTTATATTCCCCCACTTAATTCCAGATATACAAAAGAAACTGCAAAACTGTCATTTTCTGGAACATTTGAGATTTTGCTTCCTGGTGTGTTGTCAGTTTGGCTCAAATAAACTCATAAAAATATTTCTTACGTTGAAAACTCTGGAATATGTGGGCTTTTAGTGGATCTCTCTCTCTCTCTCTCTCTCTTGCACACACACACACACACACATACCCCCCCAAATTGTTTTTAATCTTTGATGGAAAATTAAGGTAATCAAGGGTAAGCTATTAGTCTTCAGAAGGACATTTGTTACAAGCTATAAAAGTACTATTCCTGTTTATACTTAAAACAAATTGAGCCCAGAAAAATACAGTGGCATAAATGAGAAGGATTTTTTGTTTAGTTTTTCTTTTCATGTAATTTATTGTCTGAGAATTCCTTCAGGGACTCACATTTTTCCCTCTACTTGCTCTAATCTCCCTTAGAATGTTTTTTTTCTACATAGTCAAGGCTGTTTCACTGGGAACTATCACCTCTGCATTCTAATCCGATGGGAAGAATGAAAGAGAAGTCATAGCAATTGCTTTCCTTTTCATCAGTGATTTGGAAGTTGCATAGCATAGTGCTATACACAGTCTGGTAGCAAGAATTCAATCACATGGCCATGACTAGCTGCAAAGGAGCCTGGGAAATACAGTCTTTAGTTGGGCAGCTATGTGCCCAGATAAAAATCTATTTGGTGGTGGTAAACGGTGAATACATTTGTCATCTAAGAAACATCCAAACCTGTAGGAAAATTTTATAACAATTTGTTTGAGCCAAACCACATATGCCAAGAACAAGTACACTCCCTCCTGTAATGGTTTTGCAGCTGCTTCTGTGCATTTGAAATTAAGAAGGGAAGGGAAGGAAGATTACTCCTTTGAGGTGGGATAAAGCAAGGGGGGGACTGGATTACAGGATAGTTAAGATTATGTGCTCTCTTGAGAGTGGTTACAATTTATTTCAAAACTACTTAACTAGAAACAATGGACAGGACAGTTTAAGACAAAGGTAAGCCTTTTAGCAAATATGTTGTATGCCTGAGGCATGATTACTCACCATGACCAGCCCAGTTAGAAATTTAAGATCTGATCACCCTGTGAGGTTACTTTCCAAAGAACCACTTTTTTTCACCCACAGATTTTTGGATATAATCATCAGTTGAGCATACCTTTTTATACCAGACAGATTTATAGCTTAAAGGACCCAAACATAATACAGATATATCTAAAATATGGTAATTTTTGTTTCTTATTTTCCATCAGTTGTTATGTAGACGGGGGAATTCCTGGACTTTGGGCTTTGATTCCGTCTGTGAAAATTTGTCTTTTAATGCTGTGATTCTTTTACTAATGAAAAAAATCAAGGAGTAGTTCTATGTATGAAATAGATCAGTCTTAAAATTAAAGTTTTTTTTAAACTGAGAAGGCCAGTAGTTTGTCTAGTCAGGTAAGTACATTCCCAGATTTTCCTGCAATCAACCAGAGTGGATCAGGAATAAAATTGGTTCAGCATAATACAGAGCAGGTCATCAGTATTAGGGCACCTACACGAGAGGTCACAGTAACCCTGTCTAAGGGTTCAGTGTCCCACTGGAAAGTATCCACAAGGACAGTTGGAGATTACACACCATGTGTGTATTTTTTCAGTTTGTATCTTTTCTCTTGTTTCTGGCCAGCTGTTTTCTGTAACAGTGAACTGTTGCAAACCCTCCTCTCTAGTGGACAAGACACCCTGGATGTTGAAGCAAAAATAAGTGACTAGGGCTTCTTGATGATGAAGGGTTGAACACACACATTAACTTTTTTCTCTACCTTAAACTCTCATTAAAGCAACAGTCAAGGAAAGAAAAACAATTACATAATAATAAAACCTAACATGACAGAGAATGAAATTGGAAATTATAGCTGCACATTTTTAGAAACTGAAAGGATCCAAAGAAGCTGAATCCTAAAATTAGAAGTCATATGACTTATATGAAAGAGAAAAGAGACCCCCTTTATACATACAAGCACACATGCACACATATGCACACCGGCACCCCAAAGGCTCAGGAAATGATAATATCAAGTACTTTATTGATGGTAAATTGAATGTAGAACTAAAAGTGGGAGCATGGTTGAATGTGCCTTTAAGAACAATGAAATCCCTCTCTCTTTTCCTCAACTCTATAGCCAAGTGAATCCCTGGCAGAAACATAAAATTTATAACACCTAGAGACGATGAAACCAAGGACCTCTTGACTGGGAAGAAAAGGTGGAGTTGTACTAAAACAATGGGATTTAGAGGACATTTACCCATGCTGACACCTACTCTTTTCCAGAATGCTGTCAGCCAGTCCTGTATGCCAAAGGCATAGAAGATCCTTCTATAAAGAATCCATTGACCTCCAGTGCTATGCAGTGAAATGACCCAACTGGATTATACTGTAGTGAAGCTCAGTCAATGAACAGTACCCACTGAGAGCCTACCGTCAGCTTCCATATGAGCTGACAACCAGGAACCACCAAATATCTTAAGAAAGCTAAAGATTAACAAAAAAATCTTAGAAGAAACTGACATAAGATATGAAGAGAAGAACTTGTAAAAGCTCTGTCATTAGTGCCCTCAGAGAGACAAAGCCCTGATAGACTCTGCTTCAGCTGTGTTCCTCGGTGTTGAGTGATGGGGCATCAGGGCAACCTAGGGGCACACCTGTAGCTCACGATCCCCTTGCAGACCACATTCTAGGTCCTTGGCCTTGGCAATTCCTGCACAAACCACTCCGATCCCATTCCCAGGGTCTGCAGGCTTCTTCCTGTCTCTGTCCTACTGAGGGCCTTCTAACCCAGTTGTGTCTACCCATATAGTAGAGGTAGCTGAGGAAAGGTTGTATATGTGAAGTGTGGATAGAGCTTGAGTGAGTGGTTAGCACTGCTGATGAGATTCCCCTAAGCTCCCAAATGCTTTTCTTCTCTGAACATAAATGAAACCCTGATAAATGAACAGTAATCTTTCATAGAGATAACGTTTTAATGTAGATATGCATTTAACCATTCGCAGATTTATTTTTTATTTTTTATTTTTAAGTATATATCTTTATTGATTTCAGAGAGAGGAAGGGAGAGGGAGAGAGAGAAACAGAACCATCAGTGATGAGAGTCATTGATCGGCTGCCTCCTGCATGCCCCCGACTGGGGATCGAGCCCGAAACCTGGGCGTGTGCCCTGACTGGGAATCGAACCTCCAACTCCTGGAACATGGGTCAATTCTCAACAGCTGAGCAACGCTGGCTGGGCCACAGATTTATTTTTAATGGATTTTGAAAAGGGTAAGGTTGACAAATATGTGGTGATACATTTTAGGCTGAAATGTGTTTTCTTTAATTAATTTCAGTTTTATTTGCAGGGTGACCGTGGACTTCCTGGTTTTCCTGGGCTCCATGGGATGCCAGGATCAAAGGTTGAAGAAATCTGGTCTTTTAAAATTCAGCAGTGCCATATATTATTTCAAATTTCAAACTTCATATTGCAAATCTGTTATAAATAAAAGCTCATAAAAATTAAAGCATGTTAAAGTAAATGATTCAGTTAAGATTAATATTATAGGTCACATAAAGCTTTTCCAAATTTCTTTAAAATTTCCAGTCATAAATATTGAAGTATTTAAAAATTGATGAGTAAGTTTTACTATATAGAAATTCTCTTAACTCTAAGTCTATACTCTAGGCCCTGTTTTAGTACCAACTGTCCTTATTCTTCTTTGTTTTTCATTATTAAGTGTGGAGCATACCACTTTTGTAAACAGTTTAAAATATTTTATTTCTATTTTATTTTGATGTTAGCATATTAAACTCTTTTGTTTATAATTTTTCTTCATCTCTGAGGAAAATATTCAGATATCTCTAAAATTCAGTATTTGTATTTTGTTTTCTAGGGTGAAATGGGCCCCCAAGGTGATAAAGGATCACCCGGATTTTATGGCAAAAAGGGAAGTATGGATCACAAAACAGAGTTCCCATATTGAACTTTCAATGTAATGGAAGTAAAAAACTTGAATTTAGTCTCTGCCTGCCACTATAGCAATTAGTTTTATTCACAGTTCTCAGGGGATTTATTAAAAACAATGAGAAAGTGAAAAAATAACTGGTGATTGTTATGTTGGTATTCTAGAAGAATACGTTGTCTTACTGATCATTTTGAACTATTAAAGTAATTACAGGGAGAGATTCCTTGGGAGTGGTAGCTGCTTAACAGCATGACCATTGACAATTGATTTAGGGCCTTCCTATTTCTTCACACTGAAGAAAGATTATATTCTCTGCATATATAAAATACTCATTGCCTTTTTAAGTTTTTCAAAATGTGGTTTCTGTGTTTAGATGCTTGTAATAATTCTGCATCCATCAATATTTTCAATGTCTTATGTTTTGTTCACTGACCTGGTAAAGAAATACTCTGCCAATAAATTGCAAAGCTAACACAAGCTGTAGTTCCACAAATTCTGTCACCACATAATGAGGTTAACTTACTTTTCTATTTAAGTTTCAGTTGGAAGTTTAAAAGCTTATTGCAAGGATAGTTTTTTAAGTGTTTTTTTATAATACAGGGTGCAAAAGGTGAAAAGGGGAATGCTGGTTTTCCTGGCCTCCCTGGACGTGCTGTGAGTGTAATAGAAAAAGTTCTTGTGTATTTTGCTTTGAATAAAAATTATAGCATATTTCTTTTAAAAATTGTTGCAAAATCAAATTAAAATATATGTATTTATTTTCAGGGAGAACCAGGACGACATGGAAAGGATGGATTAATGGGTAGTACTGGTTACAAGGTATTTACACAAAAAACAAAAGAGATTTCTGTAACTTATGAATGAACATTAAAAAAATGTACCAGTATTAGACTTCTTTACATGTGACATTGGTGTAAAGTTGAGCTAAAAGCTGTTTTACTGTAATTTAAAAATGATACTACATTTCTTTTGAGTCTATTGTGAAATCTTATGTATTAGAAATAAAGTTTCAGGATATTAAAAGATTGATGTCTTTAAAAAGACATTCAGATGGATTTGTTTGGTTGGTTAGAGGCATAAGTTCTTAACGCTGTTTTCTAATGGTTTAAGGTTTCAGTACAATTGAATGGTTTTTAGTATATTTACAGAGTTATGCAATCATTGCTAGAATCTAATTTTAATACATTTTCATCGCCTCAAAAAGAAACCCTATACCCATTAGCAGTCACTCCCTATTACTTTTTAAAAATTTTTTTTATTTTAATTCCCACTCGAGGATATATATATATATTTCCATTGCCTTTCAAAGAGAATGGAAGGGAGAGAAAGAGAGAGAGACAGAGAGGTGTATCAATTGGTTGCCTCCCGCACATTCCCCAACCAGGGTGAGCCTGCAACGTAGGTATATGCCGTTGGTTGGAATCGAACACAGGACCCTTCAGTTCATGGGCTGACTCTCTAACCACTGAGCAAAACCACCCAGGGCCGTCACTCCCTATTTCCACCCAAGCCATTATTCCTCCATTTCCAGCCCTATGCAACCTCTAATCTACTTTCTGCCTATCTGGATTTGCCTATATGAACATTTTATGTATAAGGAATCATACAATATGTAGTCTTTCATGCCTAATCTCTTTCACTTACCATAATGTTTTCCAGGTTCATCTATGTCTTGGCCCATATCAATACTTTATTCCTTTTTATTGTTGATAATATTTCATTGTATGAATATGTCACATTTTATTCATCAGTTGATGGACATTTGGGCTGTTTATATTATTTGGCTATCATATATAGTGCTGTTATGAATATTTGTGTACAAGTTCTTGTGAGGATGTATATTTTCACTTCATTGGGTCTATTCCTGGTAGTGGAGTTGCTGGAACATATAACTATGTTTAACATTTTGAGGTGAATTTACTCTTGCTATTTGCTTACCTGATAGGTTCTTGCCACCTTTCATATTTGACCTTGGTTATGTCTCCCATTTTCTAACTAGTATGGGTCTCCTAAAAATAATTGAGTTTTCTTTCTATTTGTTTGTAATTACTTACTGGAATAATTTGTGATTTTTGAAAAGCCTGTTTACTTAAAAACACACACACATTTTGTAGAGCAGTTCCCAATATACTTCTTCCCTTCCCCCACTATGAACTTCTCACACCAGAGTGGTACATTTGGTACAATTGATGAACCTACTCTGACACATAACTATCAATCAAAGTCCATAGTTTACATTAGGGTTCACTTTTGATATTCTATAGTATTATGCATAATAGTTTCACTGCCATAAAAATCCTCTGTGCTCTGCCTATTTATCCCTCCCTCCCTTCAACTCCTGGCAACCATTGATCTTTTTTCTGTCTCTGTAGTTGTGCCTTTTCCAGAATGGCACATAGTTGGAATCATACAGTATGTGAACATTTTAGATTGGCTTCTTTTACTTAGCAGTATGCATTTAATTGTCCTCCGTGTCTTTTCATGGCTTGATATCTCATTTCTTTTTAGCACTGAGTAATATTCCCTGAATATTTTAGATTATATTTCTTTTGAGGAATCTTTGAATATTGAATCATACCTAATTTTTCTCTGACCTTTTAAAAATCCGTTATCTCCACCCCCCAATTTTTGTTTTGAAAATTTTTCTACAGGTCGTTGAATTACATAAATAAATGACTATTTCTTTTTATAACACATTTTTAACCACTGAGAAGTAAATTATAGACACTCTGCATTTCTGTCCTAAATACTTAACCCTTTATCTTCTCAGAATTCTTTAAATTCCTTTATGACACCAAAATACTTAGTATCAATACAATAATATTTTTTAATATTGAGCCCATATTCAAATTTTGTCTGTTTTCCCCAAAATGTCCTAAATAGTTACTTTCTTTTTACTTGGATACAATCCAGATTTGTATATTTTATTTAGTATCTATTAGTCAGGATTTTCCAGAGAAACAAGCCAATATAGGTTGTGTGTGTATGTATATATTTATGTGTGTGTGTATATACATATAGGTAGATAGATAATAGATAGATATAGATCAAAGATAGAGAGAGAGACAGAGACATTGAGATTGATTGTTTCATTTTAAGTAATTTTCTCACACCCTTGTAGAAGCTGATAAGTCCAAAATATGCAGGGCAGGCAGGCAGGCAGGCAGAATACCCAGAGAAGAATTGATGTTATAGATCCAGTCCAAAGGCAATCTGAAGGCAAAATTCTTTCTTCCTCAAAGACATCGCAGTCATTTTTTCTTTCTTTTTTTTCCCCATCAATTTTTCTTAAGTCCTTCAACCCATTGGATAAGTCCCACTCACCTTATGGAGGGTAATCTGTTTTATTCAAAGTTTACTGATTTAAACATTAATTATATCTTTTAAAACTCCCTCAGAGCACTATCTAGACTGGTATTTGACCAAATATCTGGGCACTGTGGCCTAGTCACATAAAATTAACATATAACCTTATTTTGTTGACACATACAATGATCACAGATTGCATAACTCTTTACTCTTTTAATCTAAAGGTTAGCCTTTTTTTTTATTATTGTATCAATATTAAGGAAATTTTCTGATTGTTTCTTTATGATTGCATTCAGGATAAACAATATAGGAGATGTTTTGGCAGAAATACAATATAGGAGATGTTTTATGCTTTTGGCAGAAATACAATAATAGGAGATGTTTTATGCTTTCTATTACATTTCATTAGGAGGCACATAATAACTGTCCTATTATTGGTAATACTAAGTTTGATCATGTGGTTAAGAAAGTGGGAATAGCTGTGTATGTAGGCATATGTATGTGTTTGTATTTATTGTTTTCATGGTATAGCTCTAATTTATCAAAGCCCTATTTAAATGTCTCTAAAAATTTTTAATTTCTTTATAAAGGTGTAGCACATACTTTGTTAGTTTTCCCCAAGTATATAATATTGTTGATGTTATTATAAGTAGTATCATTTTTATAGCTTTATTGAAGTACAATTTATATATAAATAAAATTCACTCATTTTGTGCAACTACCACCAAATTCAAGGTTTAGAACTTTTGTAACCCCAAAGAGCTCTCTTATTCTCCTGGCAGTTAATTACTAATCCTGGCACTTGGCAACTACTGCTCTGCTTTCTGTCACTATTTATACCACTCTTATAATTTCAATTAAATATAATTATGCAATATTTAGCCATATGAATATATGACAGTTATTACTTTCATTCATCAGTTGATGAACATTTTATTTCTTATACTTGACAGTTATGAATAATGTTGATATGAATATTCTTATAGACACCTGACTTGGATATGTTTTAATTTTTCTTGAGTTGATACCTAGAATGCTAGGTTGTATGATGAGTATATATTTAAATTCTTAAAAAAACTACCTATTTTCCAAGTGGTTGCATATTTTGCTGTTTCCATCAGCAGTGCATAGGAGTTCCTATTTTACCAAATCCTGCCAACACTTAGTATTATCACCTTTTTTATATTATAGCCATTTTAGTGTGTAGGTAATGGTATCTCATTTTAGTTTTAGTTTGCATTTTCCTGATGACTGATGGTGTTGACATCTTTTTATGGCCTTGTTGGCCATTAGTATATCTTCTTTTGTGAACTGCCTATTCAAGCATTTAGCTATTTAAAATTTTGAGGGGTTGTTTGTCTTCTTACTAATTAGTTGTAAGAGTTCTTCATGTATTTGGATATAAGTCTTTTATCAGATATATATTTTCAAATATTTTCTCCCAACTTTGGATTGCCTTTTTATTTTCTTAATGGTGTCTTTTGGTGAGAAAATGTTTTTAACTGGGATGAAGTCCAATTCCTTATTTTTTTATTTTTTTATTTTTTTATCATTTATGCTTTTTGTGTGGTATTAAGAATCTTTACCTAACTTAAGGTCACAAGATTTTCTCTTATCTTTTCCTCTACAAAAAAAATAAATAAATAAATATTATTTTCCTAGACACATATTTACAACATATATTTTCTGAATATTTTCTAAATTAATATCATCTTAGGCTACAAATTTAAATCTATGATCCATTTTGAATTAATTTCTATGTTTGGTGTGAGGCAAAAGTCAAGGTTAGTTTTTGTTTGTTTTTAATATGGAGATCCAGTTATTCTAGCATCAGTAATTGAAAAAAATGATCATTTCCCATTGAATTATATGACCATTTTTGCCAAATATCAGTTGACAAATATCTGTATGGAACTATTTTTGGACTTCTCTTTCTGTTTTAATAATCTATACTTCTATTCTTCCTCAACAGCACACTGTCTTTCTTATCATAGCTTTAAAATAAGTTGAGATCAAGTAGTGTAAGTACTCTAAATTTGTTTCTGTGATTTTAAATTGTGCTGGATATTCTAGATTCACATAAATCCTATATAAGCTTTAGTATCAGCTTGAAAGTTTTACAAAAAGGCTTACTGTTGTTTGTTAATTAAACTTTTTAGTTTGGAATAATTTTAGATTTACAGAAAAGTTGCAGATACAGTATAGAGAATTTCCTTATATGCTTTACCCATTGTCTCCTCATGTTAACATCTGATGTTACTATGGTACATTTATAAAAACTGAGAAAATCAATATTGGCAAATTGCTGTTGAACTCAATGCTTTATTTGGATTTCATTAGTTTTTTTACTTCTGTCTTTTGTCTGTTCTAGGATCCAATTCAGGATACTCCACATTGCATTTATTTATCATATCTCCTTAGTCTCCTTTGATCTGTGATAATTTATCATTCTTTTCTTGTTTTTCATGACTTTGATAGTTTGAAGAGCATTGGTCAGGTAGACTCATTCA